CGAGACTCCGTCTCAAAAAAAAAAAAAAAAAAAAAGAAAGGAAGGGAAGGAAAGGTGTGGAGGGGAGGGGAAAGAGGGAAGGGAAAGGGGAGGGAGAGTCCTCTGCACTGAAATGCAGGTCTGAATGACCCTCAGGGACAGCAACGTCACCTACAATGCAGTATACTGCCTGGCACATAGTAGATACTCACTACATAGTGTTTGAAAGAATGAGTATCAATATATAGTTTCTCATTTTCAGAAAGAGAAAAAATGTAGATGGTCACATGAAGCTACCCAGGCTGCACAGGAGGTGGCAGAGTTTGCAATGGCAGGGGTTGGGTTGGAGCAGGGGCCTAGCACAGAAGTCCAATCAGAAGCCCAATACTGAATAGGCCAAGGGGCAGAAAATGAACTCCTGCTGGGCACCCACCATAACCCCACAGGAGGCTATGATTAGCTCCTATGTTAATTGAGGAAGTGAAAGAATGGGGAGATGAAGCAAGCAGCCCCAAGTCACACACTTGATTACTGTTGTGGAACCTGGCTTCAAAGGCAAGCCTGCGCAACTTGTGTCATGCCCCGCTAACTTTCACTTGACATTTCTGAGATCAAGAGTGAAAGCTGGACATCCAGGAGCTCATTCTTTAGAAAAAGTAGGTGACAGGGCTGGAAGGAGATTTTAGTGAAACTCTGCAGCTATTGTCCATGCATACAGCTGATTCCATTATTTTCCGATCGATCTGTTTGTTACGGCTGTACTATTAGCTTGTTGCTAAGCAACTGCTCAAAGAGCTAAGATGCTGAACTTTTTTTGGTAACCAAGTACAACCCCAAAAAGGGTGATATAAATAAGTGTTTGGGGGTACAAGCTGAGGGCTGCCGGTCAGCCTGCTCTGGTACCCTGGAGGTTTGGGAGTAACCTGGCCCCTTCGACAGTGAGCAGGCTGGCATGGAGGAAAGCTGCTTTCTTCCTCCTCTAATGCTAACATTTAACCTCTCTGGGGCCTCAGTTTGGTCACCCGTAATGGTGGTTACCTTAAAGAGCAATGTGAAGAACAGAGGTAATGACAGAGCGCAGCTAGCAGGGTTTCTGGTGCATGGTAAGGGCTCAATAACTTGTAACTGTCATCATTTTTCATAATTAAAAAATGTATTTTTTTGAGATAGGGTGTTGCCCTGCTGTTCAGGATGGAGTGCAGTGGCACAATCATGGCTCATTCTATCTTCCATTGCCTGGGCTCCGGCGATCCTCCTGTCTCAACCTCCCGAGTAACTGAAACCACAGGCGTGCTCCACAATGCTTGGCAATTTTTTTATTTTTTAATTTTGTTTTTTGAGATAGAGTCTTACTCTGTTGCCAGGCTGGAGTGCAGTGGTGCGATCTCGGCTCACTGCAACCTCCACCTTCCAGGTTCAAGCGATTCCCCTGCCTCAGCCTCCTGAGTAGCTGGGAATACAGGCGTGCACCACCATGCCCAGCTAATTTTTGGTATTTTAGTAGAGATGGGGTTTCACCATGTTGACCAGGATGGTCTCGATCTTCTGACCTCGTGATCCACCTGCCTCAGCCTCCCAAAGTGCTAGGATTACAGGTCTGAGTCACGGTGCCCTGCCAATTTTTAAAATTTTTCATAGATATGGGGTCTCACTATACTGCTCAGGCTGGTCTCAAATTCCTGGGCTCAAGCAATCCTCCCGCCTCAGCCTCCTAAAATGCTGGGTTACAGGTGTTAGCCACTGCACCTGGCCAATATTAACATCTTGACAGAGCTTGGATAGAGCATTTTGTGGGAGATCAGTGCTGAGGAAGTCAGTTTCTAGAAGGGTCTGGGGGCTTTGTTGGAGTCCTCAGCTGCCACAGCAAACAGCACCCTTAACCTCAGCTCACACCAGTGAAGCTATGGTGTGTACAAGGGGCATCTACTGGTAACGTCTGGATCAGAAATGAATCTGTCTACTCACCTGAAAAAATGTCCCTGAAACCAAGGGTAAGTTGATGTGATTACTTCTTATGAAAAGAACAGTGCCTGCTTATTTGGGGCTTCGAAGAGAATCACGTTCCTCGTTGATTCTCACAAATACTCTGGTGGCCTCGGAATTGTCTAGGTCAGGGGTTACACTCTGGTCGTTTGGGGTGGGGTTGTGAGGGGTCAAGGCAGCCTGAAGACACATTTGGTCGGCCTCAACAGCACTGGAAACAATTTTTTTGCTCCAAATCATCATCCAAAAACAATTTTTGAAAATTAGCTGCCAACATTAAAGAAAACATTTTATATGAAAATCCAGATTCCCAACTCCTCTTGAAAAATATGAATACCCAGTAACCTTCCCTGCCTCCCTAAAGCAATAATTATACAATTGTGTGGAGAGACGACTGGCTCCTTGAGACCACGGCTCCGGTCTCTCTATTGAATTGTACTCAGCATTCTTGGGAAAAGTCTGGGAAGAAGGTAATAAAGTTTTAAAACCAATTTGCAATATTTCAAAACCCCTGAGGGGAACCACATACCATCTTGTGACAAGGTGGCTAAGGCCTACTACCACCTCAAGTGACTCTGCATTAAGCAGATGCTAAGTAGAAGGGCACACGAGCTACCTCACATCAAGTAGGGTCTGCATTAGCAGTGAACAATGTCTTTAATTAATAAAAACATAGAAAGACAAAGAAAAAAAAAACCCAGCCTGTTCATACGTATTGTTTTTTAAAACATGATGTCCACGAGGTCAAATAATTCAACAGTCCTTGCACAGGGAGAATAGAGACCACAGACTCATATGGGGCCAGCTCACTTTCAATTGGTTGGAGCGAAGGAAGAGTCCCAGAGGGGTGGAGGGTGGGCAGGGGTCCAACCCTGAAGCCTCTTTTCTTGGTCTAGGGTGGCACTCACTCCCGTCATCTATCTGTTCCCTTGGGAGCCTGTCATCCCGCAAGCTGCCCAAGTTTCAGAATCTGCAGGGATCAGAGGCTGCGAGCCCCATCTGGCCACATGGGGGCACCCTGGCTCCACACACTGGATTCCAAGACCCAGCAGGCACTGGCACAGGTGCTGGGGCTGGAGGGAGAGCGCCCTTTCTGCAGCCTGGCGGTTCAAGGGTTAAGGCTCATGGTGCTGGGTACCACAGCACCTTCCATCCCTGATTCAGGGTCATGCTGCCTAGGGGTAGCTCACGTTACTGTTTTTAACAGAGTCTGGTAGGGACTCCTCCCGCCCTGGGGGAGGGATTGACACTAGGAAACCCGAAGATGTCCCTGGAAGGACATGGACTCAGAAGCCGGAGACAGAGCACAGGCTGCCTAACTTTGCTCCAGAGAGCGCAGGGCACGGAGGGTACGCAGACTAAACCGATGCTTTGGCTTCTCTACAGAAGGTTTAAAGACTCCTAGAAGCTCTTTTAAGAGAGAAAGAGACAGAGGTAGTGAGAGAAAGATACTAAGAGACAGAGAGACAGAGTCAGAGGGAGGGAGGGAGAACAAGAGAACAAGAGAGAAAGAAATCAGACCCTGCCTGGTTTGGGACAAATAGAAACCCCAGCGCAGGCCAACAATGTGCAGCAGCGTGACCGGCAGACCTGGGGCTGCAGACGCTGGTTCACACCCTGGCGCAAGCTCTCTGGACTTGAACTGTTATTTTGCTTCTCTGAGCCCCACTGTTCCTCCCTGTAGAATGCACGTAGCTACACTCGCCTCTGGGGCTCGATGTGTAGAACCAATGGGATGATACACGCAAATCACCTCTCATGGTACTTGGATCTAGGCAGGCACTCACTTGGTATAGGCCTCATTCATGCTGACCAATGGCAGTAAATAAAGGATTTTTTTTTTTTTCATGTCATTGGACCAGGATCCCATGTAACTTTAGTTTTCTTGTGTGAAATGGGACCTTTGGGCCACGTGACTTCCAAGATTCCTATCAGTCCTAATTGTGTAGTATTCTATAATAAACGCACTCTTCACACAGCCATCCATCTAAGCCTTCCATTAGCCGAGTGCTTTCTCCAGCTGCTGACACCCTGTCCCACGAGGTCGGGGGAGCTGGAAAGGGACGCTGCAGATTCACAGAAGCAGTCGTGATGGTCCTTACGTACTTGGTTCTGCCGTCAGACTGGCTGTTTTGACCCCAGCTTCCCTTTACTAGACGAGTAACCCTGGGTCAGCGGCTCCTGGTCTCCGTCCCCCAGTTTCCCGTTTAGAAAAGGAAGGTCATATTACCACCCATGGCAGGGGCTCTAGGGGAGGAAATGAGATCCTATCTGTGAAGCACTCAGAACAGTGCCTGGCACGCAGCAAACACTTCCGTAAGTACTAGGCATCATCATCACTTAGATTTGTTTAAAAGGCTGGGCAATAATCTTTCTTGGGTTACATGACGGTTGTCTGGTCTAAAACCGGAAGAAGGAGGGTATGTTTTCTTTATTATTATGATTATTATTTGAGACGGAGTCTTGCTCTGTCGCCAGGCTGGAGTGCAGTGGAGCGATCTCAGCTCACTGCAACCTCCGACTCCCTGGTTCAAGTGATTCTCCTACCTCAGCTTCCCAAGTAGCTGGGATGACAGGCTTGTGCCACCACGCTCAGCTAATTTTTTTGGTATTTTTAGTAGAGAGGGGGTTTCACCATGTTGGCCAGGATGGTCTTGAACTCCTGACCTCGTGATCCACCTGCCTCAGCCTCCCAAAGTGCTGGGATTACAGGCGTGAGCCATCGTGCCCGCCTGAGGAGGGTATGTTTTCATAGATGCTACAGAAAAAGCAACAGACTGGCAGACAAAAAGAGATGTTCCCTGGACCAAGCTCTGCCATCAGCATTTCCTTCTGCAAACTCAGGTTGCAATCTGTTCACTGAGAACTCTATTGCTGGGTGGCTGTGGGCAGTTCCCCTCTGCTTTCTGGGTCTCTGCTGCCCCATCTGGAAAAGAAAGCTGTTGGACTAGACAATGACCCTAAGGGCCTTCTGGTCCTTGCACTGCATGGCCTTATGTGCCTTCTGGCCTGATGGCCAGGCCTCTGCAGGTCCTTACCTGAGGTACTCATAGAGCCCATACATGGGCAGGAAGTCAATGTCAGACAGGAACATGTAGGGAGTGCTGATGTGCTTCATGGCCACGTTGCGCAGCAGGTTCACAGGGTAGAACTGGCCCTCCTTGTACACGATGTGGTAGCCCACGTTGTGGCGGCTCATAAGCACCTCGGAGCCCTGAGCGTAGCGGAGGAACTGCTGGGCCTCGGCGTCTGACAGGTAGAGGGCCAGGCTGATGGGCCCCTCCCAGTGCTTGCAGATGGCCTCCAGCATCTGGAGCCTGGAAGAGACAGGAAAGGTGAGCCGCCGCGGGACCTGGGCCATCCATGCATCATCCGCCCGGCCTGTCGTGGGGCTCTGCCTCCAGTGATGCTGGATCAACCAGCTGTGGATCAAATCCCTGCTTTCAATGTGACTCATTCAGTTCCTTTACCTATAAAACAGGCATCAACACACTTACCTTGCTGGTTCTCGTCCTTCCCTGCTTCCAACTGAACATGTGATATCAAGTCGTATCCCACTATAAGCCTTGGACTCCTCATTTCACAGCCGGGTGGTGAGTATATTAAATGATCTGAAGACCCCCTTCCATCCCCAAAGTCCTACACTTGTCTCTCTGCAAACGTGTAAAACAGCTCTGCTGATCTCCTAAGACAGTGACCAGCCAGAGAGGACTTAGACAAACTAAGAGGCCACTAAGTTACAGGAATGGTAAAATAAACAGTAAACGCAAGAGCAACAACAACTATAATAGAAGACGTGCTGCGATGTGCCAGGAGCTTCTCAGAATTCTCTCAACAACCCCAGCACTAGCTGCCATTCTCCCCATTTTCCTGATGGAGGAATGGAGGTGCCATAGGTTCAGTTGGCTCTGCCTCTTGCACTGAGAGGCTAGACATGTGGAGACAGGTGCCCTGATGGGACCCTGGAGTCCGTGAGAAAAACATAACACTAAAAAAGGGAATAGAAAAACATGTGAATGTTGAAAACAAAAGTCTACCTGGGGTGATGCCGTCATCGCTGTCTTCAGAGCCCTTACTACCCCAGGGTGCCAGTCAACTTTGCAAAGCTACCTCAGAGATGCTGAGCCAGGGAGAGGGGGAAAAACAGAGCCCAGTGAAAAAAAAATACAAAAAAAAAGGGCGGGGGGTGGTTTGCAACAGAGAGGGTTCTGCAAAAATGTTTGAAGATAAATCTATAAAGATATTTTCTTTCAAAGGCGTTAGAAGTGTCTGGTACATAAAATCTATGGCTAAGCAACAGCAAAAGCCCTACCTGAATTGTTTTTCCTTACCCAGCAAGAGGTACATAATCAGCAGTCTCCTGGTCAGAATGCCCACTTTATTCGGACCATTACCAGGAAATCGATTGCATGCATTTCTATGCTTCTAAACAAAAGGAAATGGGCACACCTATCTTTTTTCAATGGCCTTTTTGATGACTTCCAGAGTTTTCTCGCAGTAATTCTGTGAATTGGCACTGCCTAGATTAGCTTTCTCATTCAATCGGGAGGGTTAAGATATTCACCAGTGCAAAATGCTTTCCATTTCTCATCCATTATAATGCTTGCTAACCAAATTGACCAGAGCCATTTCTTACAAAGGCACCGCATTCTCCATGACGCCTAACGGCACTGAACTTTGTGCCAGGCTTCTGCTGCGGCGGCCTGCCCTCTCCTGGGCTCTGAGGATCTGCAATTTTGAATTATGCCTCCTGCACCTGTTTCACCTTCTGTAAATGTGGGGGACTCTGCGCTTCACGAGAGGCCATTTGTACAAATCCTCTGAGAACTGGAGAGCAAAAGGCAAGAATAATTTCCAGCATGTAGACATGAGACCTGTTGAAGGAAGTGGGCGGGAGGAGGGAGGTTTGGCTGGGCATGAAGAGAGGGCCACCTCTTGGGATTCTCCCACTGGCTTGGTTTTTGCCTCTGTGTTTCAGTTTTCCAAGAAAGGAACCCCTCCCCTGCCCCGTGACCTGCCACAGTCCCTCTCCTAAGCTCAGTCAAGAGTTTAGAGTAAGAACACAGAGGCCAGGCATGGTGGCTCACGCCTATAATCCCAGCACTTTTGGAGGCCAAGGCGGGCGGATCGTTTGAGGTCAGGAATTCAAGACCAGCCTGACCGACATGGTGAAACTCCATCTCTACTAAAAATACAAAAATGTTAGCCAGGCGTGGTAGCGCACACCTGTAGTCCCAGCTACTTGGGAGGCTGAGGCAGGAGATACTCAGGAGGCTGAGGCAGGAGAATCGCTTGAACCCGGCGGGGCGGAGGTTTCAGTGAGCTGAGATTGCATCATTGCACTCCAGAGTGAGACTGTCTCAAAAAAAAAAAAAAAAAAAAAAAAAAAAAAAAAAAAAAAAGTAGAGAAAAAATACTCAAGGTTCTCAGAAGAAAGGTGCTGTGCACGTGAAAAATAAGTCGAGCTTTAGAGATAACGCAGCTGGATGTTGTCCTGTGGAACCTCCACAAGTGAGACAGAATGGTGACACAACGCACTGCTATTTCTATGTCCCCCAGCCCCAATCTCTCCAATCTTTAGTCCCTTAGAACCAACCTTCCTGCCAGGACCTGAACAACCGTGACAAACCGAGCTTTCTATAATGATGGTAATATTTAAGGTGTGATCATGATCTCAGTCATCTCTCCCTTTACCTGCTGTTTGCCATGTCTTTGCCACACTGTGGCTATCACATTTAATCCTCATAGTAACTATAACACTGAGATTCTTATCACCATCTTACAGGCAAGGAAGCTTAACGGGATGAAATAACTTCTTTCACGTCACGCAGTCACAAAGTGAAGGACCTAGATTCACATTCGGGTCTACCTAACCCCAAAGCCCGGATCCAAGTCATTATTTAATACGGATTCGAGTTAGGCTGAGAACAAAGTTCCCAAATACCTTTGCTTCATTGCCTGTTTCCCCAAGTAAGAGCATGTTCTTCTCCCGGTGTCAATGCCTCCCCACTCCTTCCCCTCCTCAGTCCCTCTTGGTATCTGTCTCAAAGTTTCACAATCCCCTCGGCTCTCTCCTTAGGTTCTATTTCTGCATCTCAAACACGTCTTCACCTAATACAAATTTGTTATTTCCAATGCATCAGATATACGACACAGACAAGGTGCCTAGGCACCTGCATTTCAGGAGCTTTCATTCTAGTGGAGAAAAAAGACAAATCAACAAACCAGTGGTTTGATTAGGGAGGTGATTAGGTTATGAAGGTGGAACTCTCATGAGTGAGGTTCATACCCCTTTTCTTTTCCTTTTTTTTGTTTTTTTTTGAGACTGAGTCTCACTCTGTTGCCCAGGCTGGCGTACAGTGGTGCGATCTTGGCTCACTGCAACCTCCACCTCCCACGTTCTCTCCCCTCATCTGTTCCCTTAAGGGTCGTCCCAGTGCAGTTCTTGCTGATGCCACGCTCTGTGGCCAGGCTTTCTTTCACTGGATGAGTCCATGGAAGAGCTGATCCTAAACCCAGAAGGCCTGTCTCTGTCCCATGCTGGTTCCCACCTCCCCAGGGAGACCACCATTGCTTCACCTAGGGAGGGGTGGGCAAAGGCTCACAAATGTCTGGCAGATCTAGAAACAGGCGGGGGCTACTCCATAGAGTCCCACTAAGGCTGGAAGCCTCACGCAATCTCTGTAGTCATAAAGGAGCAGGTAGGGAGATGGCCGGGTCAGAAACCCGGAAGACCAGGGCTGGAAGGAATTCTAGAGCATCGCCAGGACCAAGCAGCCCAGGCGGTGACCACTCAGTGTCTGCTGGGATAGGGAACTCACGCCCACCAGGGCAGACCATTCTAATCCGGCGCACGGCCCGTGAGGCAGGCAGTGCAGCATATCACACAGCGTGCAACTGTAGGTTTTGGGGTCAGACAGACCTAGAGTTGTCCTCTGAGCTGTGTCAGTATTACTGGGCAAGTGATGGTTCTTTGGGCTTCAATTTCCACATACGTATTTTGGGGATAATAATGCCTTTGGTAGATTACAAAATAGCTATAAATCATCCCTCTCCCTCTGTCCATACCCTCTGGAAATAATCTCCCACGTGAATTCTGGCCACATGACTTGCTTTGGTCCATGGGCTGTTAGCAAGCACGACATGAGCAGAGATGAGATAAAGGGCTTGTGCCTGCTGCCACGTGAACTAGCCCTACACCACCTTGCCTTGGTGTAACCCTGGTCTCTGCTGATAGCCAGACGACCCCCCAAAAAGCTACCTAGTTTACAGCAGACACATGAATGAGCCCAGCAGAGTCTAGCCCACACTGTCAATCCAAAGAATCACAAGCTCATTCCAGTTCTTGTACTAAGCTGCTAAGACTCAGGGCAGTTTGTGAAGCAGTAACATCTAGTTGGATTTGAGGATTAAATGAGATAATGGTACAAAGTGGTGCAAAGCTAGATATACAGCAGGTACTCGGTATACGATAGCTGTTATTTCCTCCTTAGGTTCTATTTCTGCCTCTGAAACATGTCTTCACCTAATACAAATTTGTTATTTCCAATGCATCAGGTATACGATACAGACAATGGACCTAGGCACCTGCATTTCAGGAGCTTTTATTCTAGTGGGGAAAAAAGACAATCAACAAACCAGAGGTCTGAATAGCGGGGTGATTAGGTCATGAGGGTGGAACTCTCTTGAATGAGATTCGTGCCCCCCCGACTTTTTTTTTTTTGAGACTGAGTCTCACTCTGTTGCCCAGGATGGGGTGCAGTGTTGCGATTTTGGCTGACTGCAACCTCCACCTCCCAGGTTCAAGTGATTTTTCTGTCTCAGCCTCCCGAGTAGCTAGGATTACAGGTGTGCACCACCATGCCTGGCTAACTTTTATATTTTTAGTAGAGACGGGATTTCACCGTGTTGGTCAGGCTGGTCTTGAACTCCTGACCTCAGGTGATCTGCCTGCCTTGGCCTCCCAAAGTGATGGGACTACAGGCATGAGCCACCGCACCCAGCCTTCATGCCCTTTCAAGAGGCCCAGGGAGCTAGCTGGCTCCTTCCACCACGTGAGGACACAGTGATGAGGCACTCTCTGTGAACCAGGAAGTGCATCCTCACCAGACACCAAATCGACCAAAGCCTTGATCTTAGACTTCCAGCCTCCAGCACTGTGATAAATACGTTTCCAGTGTTTATACACCAAACAATTTATGGCATTTTGTTACAGCAGATAATGAGAAGGATCTGGCATTGTGAAAAGTCTGGGGGGAAAGCTTTCCAAGAAGAGGGGATGGCCCTTGGGGTAACAATGGGCTCAGCATGTTCAAGC